AAATTCTATGCCTTTATTCAAAATTAATACTTTATAACTTCATAAATTTGAATTTATTTGGAAAGCATATATTTTATAATTATAAATCAGGGCCACCAAATAATTGGTGGGCATGATAATCTATCTCACAGTAATTTCAAATATGCCTATCTGGTCATATACCAAACATATGTGATATAAATAGGCTTTTTGTTTTAAGTTAGAGCAAACTGAAAAATGCTTAAACTTCACATGTAACTTTTGTGAGCATGTATAATGTTTTACATGACTAGTACCAGAATTTTTTTTATCTTTAATAATATCTATAATACAGGTACCATAAGATAGGTATCCATAAGACAATGACTAGCATACACTGGGCACTTGATAGATTTTGGCTCATTTTTGGCCTAGAATTAAAAGTTTTCAATTTTTTTTCCAATGGATTTGGAAAATAATGAAAAAATGCTATAATTCAGGTTAAGCTGTCTCTTTTATTAAGAAAAAGGAGAGTCCCACATTGACTTTAAAAATACATCATTTTCAGGTCGGCCAAATAGCTCAGTGGATTAAAGCACCTACAAGCAGGTGCAGGGGATGGGGATTTGATTCCCAGGCCTGTCATGCCAGCCCAGTGTGCTGAGAGGGCAACTGAGACTGGATGTGGTGGTGTGCACCTGTAATCCCAGCTCTTGGGAGGCTATAAACAAGTAGATCACTACAAGTCTGATCTAGTAGTGAGATCCTGAACACCCTGTAGCTCCTTCCCTAAAATTTTTTTTGCTCCAAATGCCTTCCGGGCAGGTTTGGCTGGCTTGAGTTGTGGGGATCGAACCACAGCAGCCTGAGCCTGACTGCTTTGTGGAAGCAGCCACTTAAAGAACTGAGCTAAGGAGCAGGTCCCCTCCTTCCCTAAAATTAAAAAAAAAAAAAAGATCATTTTAATGTATGGCCATAGTTTTGAAGTTCTCTATGATAAAAAACTTAAAAGAGGGTAATGTGATGGAACAACTGGAAGCACTTAAGGTAAAAAACAATATGAGACACCTGTTCTCTGCCAGGAGGCCCACTCTTGTTGGTGGACTTTCTGAGCCTAAGTTTCTTTGTGTAGAGCAGTCCGGTCAGGAAAGCCTCCACAGCCACCAGTGGGAGGCTGACCTAGGGGCCCATTCTCAGTGTTCTCCTTTGACCTTTTGCATTCTTCCACTCCAAATAGTTCATGAACTACATCACTTTTGAGTAGTGTGTTTTCATTCTTATGTTCCAGCAGCGATTGATGTTGTCAAAGGTATAGGCTGTATCTAGGGGCTCAACTCAGGGTCTGGCATGTAATAGGCACTGAATAGGTAGTTGTTAAATGGGTAAAAGTAGACATTAAAGTTGTTGTCGTTTGGTCTAGAAAGACAAGTGACCAGGATTAAAAGAAGTCTGTATCTATGTAAGACATATATCAGGGTCTTAGTGTCCTCAAATCCAAGCTATGGTTTGGTTTTGTTTTGTTTTGTTTTGTTTTGTTTTGTTTTGTTTTGTTTTGTTTTTAATGTATTTAGTACAAGGTCTACAGGGGCTCACTACATAGATCCATCTTGTAGTGATTCTCCTGTTTTCAGCCTCCCAAGGGCTGGGATTACAGGCGTGCTCCACCACACCCAGTCTCAGAACATCCCTGGGGTGAGGCCAGCGTGGCAAGCACTGAGCTATCTGGCCGGCCCTAAACTATAGTTTTTTGAAAGATATCCTTGCACTGGGAGGTAGCTCAGTGGAATAGTGCCTGCCTGGAAAACTCAAGGATCTGAGTTCAATTTGGTACCCAAAAAGAAAAAAAAAGATATCCTTGACGTGTCCCAGTGCCCTCGTAACCTAAAGTTGAAATACATATGTGAGCCAGACTGCATATCGACACCGTTCCTTAGAGTGTTCTGTGAAGGCAGCAATCACATGCTACTCTGTGTTTTGCTCCCTCTTGTTCAGGATTTGTGCCATTCCCACTGCGATGAGTCTGTCATCCAGAAGAAGATTACAACTATCATCAACTGCTTCATTAATTCCTGTATCCCACCAGCCTTACAAATTGACATTCCAGTAGAGCAGGCACAGAAGATTATTGAACACAGGAAGGAGTTAGGACCATATGTATTCAGAGAAGCACAGGTAAGCTATCAGTTCCTGTGACTAAGCATATTTTAAGATAGATTAGCAGTCTCTAGTTTCATATTTGGCAAGATTTGAATCCTTCCAATACTGGAATTTATTCTGCTTAATTTAAATTATCTTCTTGGAGGCAGGCTATATGCTGATCAACAGATGGATCAATAAAGAAAATGTGGCATATATCCACAATGGAGTACTACTCAGCCATAAAGAAGGATAAATTTGAGGGGCCAAGCACAGTGGTACACACCTGTCATTCCGGCACTTGAGAGGCTGAGGCTGGAGAATTGCAGTGAGTTTGAGGTCAGCCAGGGCTACATAGTGAGTTCAAGGCCAATCCTGTACTATATACTGAAACCCTATCATTAAGAAGAAGGAGGAGGAGGAGGAGAAAAAGAGGAAAAGTGAAAAATAAATTTGAGCTATTTTTAGGGAAATGGGTGTGCTTTGAGACCATAATGCTAAGTGAAACAAATCAAACACAGGTTAAATATTTCATGGTTTCTCTTACATGAGAAATCTAAAACATAAATAATTTTAAGAGGGGCCAGGGAGATGGCTCCATGGGATAAGCGCTTTCCTGGCAAGCACAAGGCCCCTAGTTCAATCCCCAGTTCTGCCAAAAATAAATAAATAATTTAAAGAGAAAAATATATATATATATGTATATAGGTAGATGATAGGAAATAGGGAGACAGACCTTGTGGAGATGGAAGGGGGTCTGGCAATGAGCACAGGTGGGGAAAGGGAAGTGACAAGGATTAGGAGCCAGTACATACATGCACCAGTTGCTCGTGCTGAATGTATTTATTATTTATCAGAAACATACTAACAAAAAAGTAAAAAGTTAAAAAATAATTTAATCTTTCCATATGACACCAGCATACAAAAAACAAGTAGCATACATGTTATTTTGTTGATGATAATACACAACAAATAAAATTAGATAATACATTGACATTCTGTGATTACCATTTTTGTTTTTAATGAAGGCTAATGTCACCTCCATTTCCCACCATTTATATCTGTTTTAAAAATATCTGCTACCACAAAAATGTGTAAAATATGTGTGCCTTAAGATCTGTATATTTTTAAAGATTGGAATATTCACATAGCTCGTAAAATAAGTGAGAGAAGATTTAAGTATTCAACCAACATAAAGTATACAAAACTCATGAAAGGAAAATCATGGCTGTTAACCTGCTCAAGTTACTTCTTTTTAAGATAAATAATAGAAAACATGGACTTGGTGAACATAATTTATTTGCATTTTGAAAAGCCTTTTAGTGATGTTGTTCCTAAAAAATGATTAAGAAAAATAAATTATACCGGGGGTAATAGGGAAGGCCATGTCATGAATTAAGTGATATGAAACAGAGATTTAGAACATGATTGCCCTTGAGCATGGAAAAAGGCCATTATTCCTTAACGTTCATTTGTGAACCAGCTGTGTTCTAAGTCCTCTAAGGAACTGAAAGTGGACTCACAATCCAAATTATGCATTAAAACAGGCAAAAATATAGAGGTATGATTGAAGAGGTGCTAGAGAGAAATAGAGAAAACATTGTGCCAGAATTACAGAACCTGCTGATGAAAACATCTCAGGGACAATTTAGCCTTGCCTAGGGTTACTGATAAACCAGGCCAGGACTTGCCCATCTGTTTTTAAAAGCTCGAGTCTAGAGCTACTAACGTTGGTAGTTGTGGCCCTTCTTCAGGGACTTGTAGCCACTTGCTTTACTGGTGGCTTCTAGCCAAAAGGTCTACCTGCTTTCCTAAAATGGAGTCACAGATAAGGACCCTGGAGCCCCTGAAAACACAAAAGCCTTATTTGGGGGCTTCTTCCCTCTGAACCTTTTATTTTTCCTGTTTTCCTACCGGTACCTAGAGGATGGCATCCCGTTGTACCAAGATATTCAAGCCAGAGATCTGGCTACTGTTTTCATGTCTTTTCCCCGCCTTTGTTTCCTTACCCTCATATCTAAACAGTCCTTCAAACAGATCCATTTGTCTCCTTATTATCTGTCCTCCTATGCATTTTTCTCCAACTGTACCCTACTACCTCACCGAGACGTGCAGGAGATCTCACGTCAGTTACCAAGCTGCCTCTGGGCTCTCACCGATTCATTCAACTTAACTGTAAGCAAGCAGAGCAATTTTTTTCAAACTGTGTATCTGATCACACCACTTCTGTGCTTAAGGTGGTTCACTTGCCTTGCACTGCCCTCCAGTGAAATCTTTACTTCTGCATACCTGTGCAGCTACAGCTCCCCACCATCTCCCCCATTTTACTGAGGTGGCCCTGTCTTCCCTCCTGAGCTTTGTGTACTGTCACCTCTCCCTCCTGAGTTCCTGTCATCATTCTTACCACATGGAATGGTCCATCCTGGCATCTGGCTTCCCCTTTAGCTTGTAAGCTTTTTGAGGGTAGGGAATGTTTTTTATTTATCCTTGTAACCCAAATATCTGGCACAGAATAGGCATTTTTTGACCACATGCATGAATGGCATGAGAGATTTGTCATGACCAACACGAATAAGATCACATTGAAAATGAGAGCAAAGTAGAGCAAAAGAGCTGAAATACTAAATGAAAAATTGCTATTTTAGCATTATTGTTCATGTAGCCGTTAAAGCTTTCATCGCTCAGCCAAGTTTTTACTGGTCTCTTTACTCAGATTAAAACCACTCCTTGTCTGCTGACAGTAAGCAAAGTAGTTCTATATTTATTGAGATATGTTTTACCCACAATGTTTTTATCTTTTAAGGTTCTAAAGGTATAAGTTTATTAATGACAGATATTAACATAACATCTCACTTGCATCTTTTGGAAATAGAGCATTTTTATGCCTTCCACTGTAACATTGTATCTTAATTGGATAATTTCAGATAAGGGTTAAGCCTTCCATATGTAAATAGGTACCTATCTGTGAGAGTCGGAGACAGCTTGGATGTTGGAAACAGAACTGAGGAGAGCCAATCCTGAGCTGTAGAAGTTCATAATAACTGCTATGATCCCCTAACTTGGAAAGGGGATTTACTTAATTAAATGAATGGCAGATCAGTAAAAATGAAAATTTCTTAAAAGCTTGCTTCATCAAAGAAAGTATCTCTAGCCTTTACCATCACACTCTCAGGAGGCTATAGGATTCAATGATAAAACTGCATTTACAAGGGAATAAATAATCCTAGAATCACTAATGACATTCATGGATGGAAAAGACGAATAATGAACGATGGCAGTTCAGGACTCTGTTGATTACTGAAGCATTTGCTTTTAAAATTTTTCATTTTCCCTAACAGTTTGACTTTGAGCCTAATGGGATGGCTTAGGGTTTTTTCAGAATATTAGGTAAGGTCTATTCCTAGTCATAAGATTTGGACTTGATTTGATGTGGCAAGTCCTACCTTCTTGAAAGCAATGTATGCCTCTGGAACTAATGGAAAAACTTGGCATAGGAATTAGAGCAACTAATCTTATCTCTATAAATATCACAATTAATCACTTAATGTAAAGTGTCCCCGTAGAAAGCATTTGTCTAGGATATCATTTGGCTTTTTAAATGTTACTTTTCTTGCTCTCGCATAAAAGAGAGATTATATCATTTAAAAGTTACCCGTAGATTTATTCTTAGATCTGCAGCTTTGTTTAAGAGCTTTTCCAGAGGCAAAATGGCATTTCCTTTCGCTAAGAGAAAGAAACCAGGGTGGGGGGCTTCTCTTGATGAACCGAATACTTGGAATACTTGCATAAAACAGCAGAGTATGTAGTAGATCAACTAGTATAGATTTTAAAAGAAAACATAAATTTCTTATTTAAAAAGGACCTAATGGATTCTTTATTAATATAATCAATTGGTTAGGGAAACAAAGAATAAAGTGACTTTTAAGTATTTGGTGTGTTTTTCTTTTTAAAGAAAGTCTTCTCATTGGTAATAAAAAAAAATTGATGATAAGCATGTGTTGTGCTGAAATTTCTAAGTCTGGGGACAATAAGTTGGAGGAAACATGGTGTGTATTAAAGATAGAATATTTAATCCATTATTATGGTGAGTTAGAGTTTAAATCAGTACATTTGTATAAAATTATAACCTGAGATCTATTTTGTTTTTTATACAGATGACAATTTTTGGAGTTCTGTTTAAATTTTGGCCTCAGTTTTGTGAATTTAGGAAGAATTTGACTGATGAAAAAATTATGAGTGTTTTAGAGAGAAGACAAGAGTACAACAAGCAGAAAAAGAAATTGTCAATCACAGATAATGAAAAAATTGGAAAGGTAAGATGACTCGTTTTGATGTAAAATCACTTTTAGAAGTATGAATTGCAGAAGAAATTGGGCTAGGAAATGCACAGAGAAGTTAGAGAATCCGGATTTCAGTGGCCTTTCAGCCTGCTTGTGGAGGCTTCAGGCTTGTTTGGGAACCTCTCGGGCTACAGCTCCCAAAGCTTCTCTTCGGCATCCTCGACTCTCCTGGGCCACACAGGCAGTATCCACTGCAATTATGCTTCTTCTTCCCATAAATCACACTTTTATTGTCCCGTAATTGAGTTTGTACATTTGCTGTCTGTGCTGATGGAGATCTTCAAAGATAATATCTACCCTATTCATCCATGTTTCATAAACACTTACATTAGTGTCCAAGATGTGCTCAATTGTTAATCATTATATATCAGTTAAAAGCAAGAAGTTAATGAATGAATGAACAAAGAAACAATTTATGCCAGCATTTTTAGTACTAAAATTACAGGATAAAACTGGAATTTGTTAATAAATTCTGATAACCCACTGCCATCCAACCATCCAAAACTGTAGAATTTGTAACTATAAGTCACAAACTGGCCAGCCTTCCTGTATTTCTCCAGAAAATCCCAGATATTTGTATCGTGCATTTTGTTATTAGTTGTGGAAATGAGAAATGTCCTTAATTGGCCTTCTCATTTGGCCATACCTGTTACCTGGTAACAACTAACAGGGTTAAGTACAAAATATTCACATTTGAAAAGCAATTGCAGAGTAATCCTAAAGACTTCACATTTTGAATATTGTTTTTCGGGAGTTGGGGCTCGTCATGTTGCCCATGCTCTTCTCAGATTTCTAGGGTTCAAGTGGTTCTCCTGCCTCAGCCTCCCAGGTGCTGAGACTGCGGGTATGTGCTGCCATGCTGTAGCAGTAAATGCCTCCCCCTCCACCAGTATACTTCAGTTTCTTAGTTGCCCTGATAATAGTTCCTGTTCCAGATCTATTATTCCTGTCTAGTAGAAACGGCTGGTCGCTGTGATGCATAGGTGCTCACTATGGTGCCTGTTGTGTAAATCAATCCCCAGTAGACAAGCTCTTCTGTCTCTGTATTTCCTGCTTGCTTCTCCCAAAAAGCCCTAGCCCCCTGGAGACCAGGGCTGATACTCTGGGAATGATCCCAGTTAGTATCCCTCAATGTAAATAAATTTGCCTCCAAATTGTGGCTGTCATTTTAGTGTTTCTGCTTGCTATAGCAATTGTTAGACTACTTTCAAATATTCTCATTGTATACAATAAACCTACTGGTACCTCTTAATGATATCTGTAAATTTTACACTTGTACTTATTGTACTTTGGAGAATGTAAGGAGGTCCAATAAAGTAGTAGATGTGTGGCTCAAAATTATTGTCAACAGAGGTGGATGAGTAAGTGAACATAGGAGACCTATGATTTTTTTTTAACATGAAATGAATGGGTGAATATAGAAAAATACAGGAAACATGATTTTTTTGGTAACATAAAACATGCTTTGAAAACCTGTTACTTAGTAAAACAGGTTTTGCTAGGTAGTGGTGGGCATGGCTTTTAACTCCTTGAGCCTCAATTTTGTCTATCAACTAATGGTAATAGTATTCTCATGATTCACAGGGGATTAACTGACAGTCTGAAGTATATAAAAAACCTTATGTATGTAAGCCTTGCCACTACCTAACGATAAGGCATTACTTGACCACTTGAAACAATGATAGCACAGTGAGTAGAAGAGTCTCTAAAGTCCGACTGCCTGGCTTCGAATCCTGGCCTTACCATTTATTCTGTTTTCTTAGTCAAACCACTTTTCATCTAAGAATTAGCTAGCCCTGCATAGTCTGCAGAAAGTCATATAGGACAAAGAAACAGATGAAAAGTTTCACGTAGTTTAATTCCTAGTTTAATACAAAGTACTTAGAATGAATAGTGTCAAATCCATTAAGATGATCAATGTGACTTAACTAAGAAAAAATTTTAAACTTTTAAGTGGCAAAAATAGGGGCTGGGGCGATAGCTTGGCAGTCTCAGCACCTGCCTGGCAAGTGCAAGGACCTGGATTCAATCCCTAGTATCACATGCTATGCTGACCTCAGAACCCCAAGCACACTGTGCTGGCCACTGAAACCAGGTGAAGTGGCACACACCTATAATCCCAGTGCTGGGAAGGCTGAGACGGGAGGATCACTGTGAGTCTCAGCTGCATAGCGAGACCCTGTATCAAATAAATAAATGGCAGAATAAACCAGGTTATAATATATATTGGGAAATATAATGTATGATGTAAGATTTAAGAATAAATCAGAAAAAAGATAAATATTCTTAACAGAAATTTGGACAAAGAGCATTCAGTAGGCAATTCAAAAAAGAAAGCAATAAAATATGTTCAACCTTACCAGTAACCAAAGACAGGAATACTGACAACAAAGAAAATACAGGCAGTCTCAAGTGTTGATGTGAAGAAAAAGCATACAAATTTATACATTATTGGAAAAAGTCTAAATGGCACTTTCTGAGAGCAGTTGATCGTTCTTTTTAAATCAGCAAACACACTTCAAGAAACTTATTTTAAAAGGAGAGAATCATAAAAATGCACAAAATGTTTGTACATGGCATCATTATAATAATACAAAGGTAGAAATGACTTAAATTTCTAGTAGAAGGCATTGAGTTATCGCTGGCATAGCCCCACTCTTGTGTTGAAAATGGTGATATAGTTTAGTCATAGTATCATTCAACAAATATTTAAGCACATAAGACTATTCAGCTGTTGAAAATGGTGATGTAATTTGTTCATTTCATCACTCAACAGATATTTGAGTGTATCGTATGTGACAGACACCATTCTACAAATAAACATATCATGGTAAATAATACAAAAGCCAGCTTACATTCCAGCTGTGTTTCTTCATATACGGCTCGAACCTGCGAGATCGCGCTGTAGAGCCTGATGCGTAAACCACTACGCTAACTCTCCAGCTTGTTTCTTCATATAGGATCGTTTTCAGCTCATACTTTCCATGAAAAAGAAGATATAAAAAAGAGCACATAGAGTTTTACTCCATTTATATAAAATTTATTAAAGAAAATGAGAATACTACAATTTAGAGACCATAATTACTTATGCATTTTTCTAGTGAGAAGTCTTGGATGTTTATGAAAATATTTACAGTGCATTTTATATGCAAAAATTTAGGGCTGTTAACTTCACCATTTATTTCATTTGTTTTTAAATACTTTTATATTAGTATAAAAGAAAGTTAAAGATCAAAGGGACAGTCACTTGGTGAAATCTCATTATCCTTTTTCTCAATAATTTAATTTAATGTATTGACAGGTTGGACTCAAACAATATACAAGTACTACGGGGTCTACTACAAAGACGCCTGCCTTAGCCAGTGACTCCTTCCTAGGCCTGCAAGCATATGGCCGACAGGTAAGCAATGAGCATCTGCAGGCGCCCTTCCCGTGCTGAGCACTGAGTAGTAGGACGCAAGAACTCAGCCACTGTATACAACAAGAGGGCTCAAATTACATTGCTAGGAGAGATGGAAACAATGTCCTTGAGCCTTCAGAGGATGTAAGAATTTCATCCTGAAGAATTAAAAATATTTACCTTTCAAAACATTTCATGGTCATTTTGACTTGGGGAGGACTTAGAAGTCTCATGGTACCAGATCCATTGAATAAGGCAGGCGTGGACAGGGTAAGGTTTTTAAGTGGCTGCCTTTCTGTTACACTAGGCAGCAATATTCATCATATTCTTTGACCATTCTGCCTAAAGACATACAAGAGGCCAGAACTGCTCCAGAAAGTGGAAAGAAAAATGGGATAAATGTATTTGCAGCAAGAGAGAGGATTTTGAGAGAGATTAAGCCAGTGTCTTTTGCTATAACAAAGTTTTATCTACACATTCACCATATATTTTGATCACACTGCATAGTTTCGTAGGCAAAATTTCCAGAATCAAATTTGAAAATTATTTTTCCAGCCAACTTGGTGCTACTCAAAGTACATAGAAGCCTTAGAACAGGAGAGAGTTCTTCTTAAAATCCAAGAGGAACTGGAAAGAAAGTTGCTTACAGGTAATTTTTGCTTTGTTTGCAGAATTGCATTGTTATGGGATGGGGAGATAGCTCAGTAGAATAAGCACTTGCCTGGCAAGTGCAAGGTCCTGAGTTCAATCTCTGGTACCGCAAAAATAAATAAATAAATGAATAAATAAGTCACTAAGAATTGCATTGTTATATTCTATCGTAGATTAATTTTAGAGAACTTTGCCAGTGCTTGTTTCACTGTTTTTCTTCCTTCTCTTCCTTTGGGCAGGAACATCATCTTTTACAAATGTGTTTAAGTCTGCTGGCTCAGTTACGTCTTTGAAGAAAAATTTGTCTGCCCAATCCATTTCAAGTGAGTTTCTAATTCTTTCTTCTTGCCTCTCAACTGGCCACACATAATTTGGAGGGACTGACTCCTAAATTAGGAGATGTCATTGTGACCATGTGTGTCTGGGTGTGTCCTGTCTGCCTCATCTCATGGTGTCTCTTGTTGTCAAGGAGGGAAGACTAAACTATATACCTAACATTGCTTCTCTTTTCCAGAGTGGTGACAGCACTTACATCTGTGTTTATGTCCTGCTACCAACAGGTACAAGGTGAGTGCTATTCTAACACTCGATCAATCCTTTTCTCCCTCCCTCCCTGTTTCTCTCTCTCTCTTTCTCTCTCTCTCTTTCTTTCTCTCTCTCTCTCTTGCTCTCTCCCCCCCACACATGCACCCCACATACACATTCATACCCCACATACACATCCATACCCCACTAGAAGATTGATGAACAGAACATCTTGTCTTCCTCCTGAATGGTGCAGTCTCCTGAGATGGTCTCATGAAGAACATCTGGGGAATAATGGACTATCACTTAGCTTTCCCCAGATTTTTAAAGTGGGTAATATAAGAAGGAACATTACATTACAAGTGGGGTCCCTTCTCCCACACAGATTTTGATATACTTACACAGTTTGATCAGATATAGCCTTGACAAAGGATGCTGGTAGTGTAATGTAGCAGGTGTGTAAACCACTGACAGAATTCTTTCTATTTTGTTGTCTTTTTGAGACAGAGTTTCCTTGTTTAGTTCAGGCTGACCTTGAACTCACTGTGTAGCCCAGGAACTCACAGTGATCTTCCTGCCTCAGCCACCCAAAGATTAGGACTACAGGAGTACATCACCACACCCAGCTTGTTTTGTTTTTTTGAGACAGTTTCACTATATAGTTCAGGCTGGCCTCAGACTCACAGAGATCCTCCTGCCTCAGCCTCCTAAGTACTGGGATTACATGAGCCACCACAACTGGCTCCAGCACAGATTCTTGGAGCTAGTTAACATTCCTTCCTTCTATCTTTTGTCTTGCAAATTAACTGTTGGTTTTCCAAGATCCTTAGTTTTCTTGTTCTGGGGAAGGTTTGATGAATAGACTTACGTTCTTAGTCTGATCATTTTTTTCTTCTCTTCTAATTTATTCTAGCTACTTTCCCCTTCTACAGGTTCTCTCACAACTTAGGTCACCTCATAGTACCCCCACATTTAGGACATCATGTTTTTTAGTTAATTAAGTTTACTGGTATATTTGAGATGCACATAATGAGCACACTCATCACAGGGAGTTTCCTTGGATGTGATGTAAGTCCTTTCCTTCCCATTCCTCTCCCCTCCCTTCATCCCTTCTTCCCCTCCTTTACAAAAGCTTTTTCCTATTTTTCTTCTTTTCTCTTTCCTTCTTTTTTCTTTTCTCTTTATTCTTTTCCTCTGCCCCTTTCCTAGCTCCCTTTCCCATTGAGTTTTTCTTCTTATCGTACAATATCTACTTACATCTTGGTCCTTATCTACACTTTGTTTCTCACACCAGAGAAACAGTGTGGCATTGACACATGAGGACATTTTTTTGAGCCTATGACAATCCATTGTAAGGTTTTGTCACTGTTATTTTGGATTTATATTTTCTATAAATGCTATGTTTTCATCTATTTATTTCTTTTGCAGGAATTCTTTTACTCAAATTTAACGAACAGAAGCTGAAGTAACTGATTGTGATGGTCTACATGTTTAGAGCAAGCCTAACATCTAAATAAAGTTTGACTGTTTTGCTCCCATAGTGTTAAAGTTACAGCTATTCTTTACACTCAACTATAATTTTTAAATGGCAGAATAAAATGCCTTTATCTAAATTAGAAGAGCCAAAATAATTAATGAAACATATTATGCTTATTGGATAATCTTTCAACAAATATTCCTTGAGCATTAATGCCACCAGTATCTGGTGAGCAGATATTCAGCAGGTGATTGGGGGCATAGCAGTAGCTTGAGCCAAAGAGAAGAGGATAAAAGGAGGAGCTTTCCCCATCCATCTCCAGCTATAAAGGGATGCTATTAAAGCAGAGGTTCACGTGACATTAGCTAGCATTGGAGGTTCCTGGCCCCACTGTCCGAGGTCCAGCTCAGTAGTTCTCGAGCAGGGCTAGGGATCACAACTTGAATAGACACTCACAGGACCCTGAAGCAGGAGGTGCAGGAACCACTCGGAGATAAACTGCTGAGGCAGGAAGAAAAGTGTACCAAGAGGTCAAGGCCCTCTTTTGTGCCACAAGAGGTGTATTTGTGGAAAGAGACTCTAGACATACACCTTGCTACACTTGATCCTGGAGGGCTCAAGCTGTGGTCATCTGTGGGATGACCGGGAGGGTCAGCTGAGATCCTTGGGGTCCAGGACCTGTGAGGGTTCAAGCTCAGGTTACCAGATGGGAAACACTGGTCGCCCCCAGTCTCACCCCATCCCAGAGGTGTTTTCATAGTCAAAACCACATTCCAAATTCTCTAAGGAGTTAGATGTTTTAAAATGGGAAAATCTGGAAGATGGACTTCAAAGATCATTAACATAGTGGTTTTTGAATACTTAAAATTTTGAAAATCACTGGAACCTTGTGGTTTCCAGTGCCTTCACAGTATCCCTAACCTTCAGTGGATATGAATTTTCTTTTCTTCTACTCTTGTTCTACCTTCTCTGGTTTTAACTATTTTATGTTATTCTGTTTTCTCCTCCCCTAGCATATCAATTATATTTCTTTTTCAGATCTTCCTACTAATTGCCCCAGAGTCTGCATATATATTGCAGCTAATAAAATTCCACTTTCAAATAACATTACAACTCTTCGTGGATAATGCACATACTTTAAAACAGTATTCCCATTCATTCCACCGACCCATAAATTTCAATTAACAAACATATTGTTGCTCTTATTATTTTGAATAAATTGTGTTAGATCAATTAATAATTTCTGGAAAGATAGATCTACCTAAGACATAGCTGTTCAATTTGTTTGCTTTTTCTTTATAAAGATAACTTCACACAACACACAATTCTGGGTTAGTGGCTTTTTCTTTCAGCTTTTAAAATACTTCACTCTCCTCTTGCCTACATGGTTTGTAAGGTCAAATGAAATTTCTTATCTTTGTTCCTCTGTTCTCATGCCCGCTCCTATCCCAGCCAGGTACTAAGGACTGAACCCAGGATGTTCTGCCACTAACCTACATCCCCAACCCATTTTACTTTTTATTCAGAGAAAGGTCTTTATTAAGTTGCCCAGATGGGACTTGAATTTGAGATCCTCTTGCCTCAGCCTCCCACAGTGCTGATGTCACAGCTGTAAGCCACCACACCGGGCTCCTCCTCGCTGCTTGTAAGACTTTTCAGTTTTCTACAGTCTGAATTGTATAACTAGGTGTAGATTTGAAGGTATTTGTCTTGCTTGGTAAATGGAAGGTGTCTGAATGCCCTGAGCCTATTGTTTTGTGTCTGTCATTAATTTTGGGTAATTTTGTCATTCAGATATTTATTACTTCCTTTTTCTTTTCCTGCTGGCATTTCCTTACACATATTGATACCATAGGTTACTGATCAACAGTTCTTGAATATTCTGATTTTAAAAAATTTTTCTCTTCTCAGTTTTATAAGTTTTATATTTTCTTTTCAAGTGCACTGATTCTTTGTTTGGCTGTAGCTAATCTATTGATGACCTTGTCAAAGGCCTTTTTCATTTTGTAGTGTTCTTTTTTAAAGATTTTTCTTCTTTTTTTCTTTTTGTGCTGGCGATTAAACTCAGGACCTTGAGCTTGCCAGATCAGCGCTTAAGCCACTGAGTTTTCCTACGACTTACAGTGGTTTTTATTATTTCTACTTTTTTTTTTTTTTTTTTTTTGTGGGGGCAAGGTTTTGCTATATAGTTCACCTAGGCCTTGAACTTACATTGTAGTCTAGGTTGGCCTTGAAATCACAATAGTCCTCCTACCTTAGCCTCCTGAGTGCTGGAATTACAAGCATGCACCACCCCACCCAGCTACTTCTGCTATTTTCATTGGATTTTCTTTCTTTTTTTTTTTTTTCCCATTGCATTTTCTCTGGGCATTTTCTTCACTTACATTACTCATCTCTTTTCGTATATTGTCCATTTTTATTTGAAATCTTACAGCATGAGTCATAATCATTTTAAATGTCTAGTCCAATAATGCCAACATCTGTGCCCTCTCCGAGTCTAGTTCTCATGCTTGCGATCTCTTCAGACTGTAGTTCTGGCTTCTTCATGCATGTTGTGATTTTTTTGTTTAAAATAAGACAAGATATATCAGGTAAAGGGAACTGGCCTCTACTATGACATTTGTTTATATGATGACCTGTTAAGATGAACTTACTATGTTATTAGAGCCTGCAATTTCCTCTCTGCCTTATTTTGGTTACTGTGTTGCTTTGGGGTTTTCCTGGAGACTGGATGTTCTTGAAGTTTATCTTCATTAATGTGATGGTAGGGAAATGTTTTCTGGTTCTATCACTGCGTCTTAGGGTTTTAGTGAGCCTGAGTTGGGTATTTCCCCTCCCTACGGTTGCTTGAGCTTTGGTAAAAGCCTCCTGTTAGGTTTCCTAGGAGGCTCTGAGAAGAAAAAACAGAATGCTGGGTATTTCAGAATAGCTACCGTACTCCTCCCTACTGCCAGAAACAGGAGATTATGTTTGGTCTTCACAGGAGAACACAGTAGAAATCCTAGCAATAAAGTTCAAGAAAATGTAGGGGAAGCCAGGTATAGTGACACATGCCTATAATCCCAGCACTTGGGAGGCTGAGGCAGGAGGATTTCCATGAATCTGAGGCCAGCCTGGGCTACCTGGTGAATTCAAAACCAGCCTGAATCACATAGCGAGACCCTATTACGACAACAACAAAAAAATATTTGAGTCCCGCTGCAGTGTCCTGTTCCTGGTAAACTATGATTCTCTTATTTGCTTGTCCAGTTTTAGAGGTGAGAGTGTCCCCTGTTACCATAATTTCTTGATGGATCCATGAAAAATTAGTCAGTTCAGCTTTTTTCTTATGTAAGGATGAGTGTGATTATTTCTGAGTTCTTTACTGTCAGACTGAAGCATAATTCTGTATTTTAAATTATTTTGTAGTCAGTTTTGTTCTTAAGATAAATTTAAGAAAGGCTTATTTATTAATTAAAAGTTTATATTATGTATAGTTTATGGTGATTTCTATATTATAAATATTTATGAATTTATTTTTTATCGACCCTAAAATAATCTAATAGGATGAGCTCATCCCAGTTTTTGGACCTAAAAGGATCTGCCCTACCTTAGTGTGCCCAGAAAGTGTTGTTGTGGTTGTGGTTATCCTGATTCTTCTCCATATCCTTTTAATTCTTTGCTTCCTCCTCCTCTACTACGGGTTAATACATTATTTCAGATCCTCCTCACTGTGGATCTGGATCCGACTTAGTGTCTTTCTTCCGTGGCCACTTGCACCTGCTCTTAGAGTGACGTTTCTCCAGTGCCAGCTCCATATTTCCCACCTAAATCTTCCTGAGCATTGAGAAGCCTGCTGCTGGTAAAGCAGAATCACTAAGTGTGACATACACATGCAGCCTTCCTATCTGCTGATGCAGACATCAGGTCAGGCGTTGGTTCCTCTAGGAAGCTGCCTTTCATTATCTTTTTCTTACCACAGATCTCCCAGATAGCTGCAAAAGTTATGACTCTGCCCCACCCCTGGATTCCCGTCACTTATTAGAGCATTAGCCACAATGATTGTCATGTAATCTGTGTGCTTGTGTATCCTAACATACCCTGTCTTTTCATTCTAGTACCTTACATAGAACACCTAAAAAGTGAATGCCCATTAAATATGTTGAACAGGGGCCAGGGAGATGGCTCAGCAGAATAAGTGCTTTCCTGGCAAGCGGTAGGGCCTGAGTTCAATCCCTGGTTCTGGAAAAAAAA